GTTACTATTTCATGTTTATTCACTACTCCCTTTGCACTTCATTTTACACACATTTAAATTTATTTGGTGCACTGCTACTCCTGAAATGTGTGAGCCTTCAAATGGAAATACTTAAATACTACTAAAACGAACACTATATTGGTATGTAGGTAAAGGTTCTTAGTTGTATTGCTGTAGTTCCACGAACAAAGCAAAACTAAAAAATTGGGAAAAAAATGCAGAATACTTGACTGTTATAATGGGAGTGGAGTAGGGTGGGGAATAAGGTCTTAAGCATTATGATTGAGACTATAATAAACAAAGGTTTTCTAGCTCTTCAAATTAGACAACATTATTTGGGTGCTGTTTTTTTTTCCATAAGATGGCAAGTAACTTACTGGAAGATCTAACATTAATCTGAACTTCTGTGGGGAAGGGAGAGGCAGAAGCCAGGTGGAGCTAATGGAGCTTTGACCCAGGGCACCAAAATTTAGAAAATGCAAAAATTTGTAGAAGGAAAGGTCTCTTTCCTTACCTGTTCCTCCTTTGGCTGCAGGCTGCAATGTCCCAGGGTCTTTCTTCAAGTCCAGGTGTGTGTGTGTGTGTGTGTGTGTGTGTGTGTGTGTGTGTGTGTGTGTGTGTGTGTGTGTGTGTGTGTGTGTGTGTGTGTGTGTGTGTGTGTGTGTGTGTGTGTGTAGGTAGATATCAGAAATATCTGTTTAAAATCCCGGGAAAAGGAAATAAATGCTAAAAAATTTTGCACACGTGTAGTTTGCTTCCACTGGTGTGTGTGTGTAGGAGATACATTTACAATCCTCCTGTTAATTATTTCTCTAAAAATCAATGCCACTCAAAGGGTTACAAACTTTTAGAGGAATTTTTTTAAAACAGTGTTGATTATTTTATGGAATAAGGCCATATATGACCTGTTTGAGCAGGACACATAAATGTGAATGTCTGGTTTAGAATCATAGTGCTGTTTGGGGACTCGATTGAAGAAAATGCCATGATCAGACTAATACCATCACGGTGACTTGTGCTGCTCTCTTCAGGCTTGAGGAAACAAATATTTTCTGTTTCATGGGGAATGTGTAAGGGATGTATGTGTACATAAAACTGGAACTCCTAAGACCTGAGGCTTTGACACTTCGTAGGTCTCTAAAGAATTCCACTATTGGTGGATGCATGGTATAGGGGCCCTCATTGTTCCGCAGAGTAAATGGGCCCCGTGGAGATGAGTGAGCTATATACACACACACCACTCCTGTCCTACACACTGGTTTCACTCTTTGGGCCAAGTGTCCCCAACAGCTCTCCCTGAAAACATTCCAGGCATAGCTTAGAACTGTTTGCTTTCCTTGATGAATAAATACAAAAAGTAACAGTGAAGTCTACAGATTCCTTTAAATAGGTGAGTGATAATCTACCTTGCTCTCCAAATTCCTAGTTGCATAGGTGACTTAGAGAGATTAATTTCAACACAGTGGGAGGGTTTGGCTTCAGAGTCTCCATTCCACAGCTTGTTGATAGAAGAAATTGGGTTTTTCATTCAAAATTCCCCAAAGGCCTGGATACTTCCTGTCATTTTCTTCACTGTTTAGGGCTCAAAAAGGCATAAAATATTGTACACATTTATGGCAAATTGACCACTACAGAAGACAGTTTTTCAGATTTTCCTTGAGAAAAGAAAATGCGATTTCATTTCATGAAGTTTCTTGATATATCCTCTTACCAAAGTGCCTTATGACACAAATTTTAAAAAAATTATCTCGAAAACCATGTCTGCGTGAGTGTTACCTGAAGGAATGATTTGAGGGTAGTAGATAGATTTGTCCCCAAATAATCTTTTTATCTTTAAACATTAAGTTCAAAGTCCTCAAAGAACTAAAAATCAACAAATAATAGAAAACCTGCATCCATTTCCTTGACTTCTCTCTTCCTGTCTTATTGACAACCCACCCCTGATTCTTATTCCTTCCAATAGAACTGAAGTTAAAAGAGAAAGTAGGAAAGAATTAGGGTGGATTGGAGCTCCTTCCATCTTCCACTCTGTTCTATTTCATACACCCACCAGGGAGGTGATATCTTAAATCTCACCATTACCATAAATGACTACACCTCAAAGATACCAAATTCTGAAATTCTTTTCTTTGCCCATAATCTCTTCATCTAATCCCTGGGTTTGAATTTCACTTTGAATGCTAATTAGCTGTGTGACCCTGAGTAAGTCAGTTAACCTTTTCACTGAAGTCTTCTCATTGGTAAAATGGACATAATAATACTGCCATGCTGGTACCTGGCACAGTGGTACAGAGAGATAACTTTGCTATCAGGAAGACCTTAGTTCAAGTATCCCTTATATATGACCCTAATCAAGTCACTTGATTTCTCCAAGCAACTCTAGAGTAGAAGCTTCTAATCTATTTTGGGAGAGTGAATTTCATCATATCAATATAATGACAGATTTGGACCAAAAGAGCCCTACAGGGTTGCTGTGAGATATATGTGAGGCACTTTGCCAACCTTAAAGCCGGATGTACACATCAACTGTTAATATTGACATTATTGAATGAGAGGAAGAGGAATTACTTAAAGAGCAAGATCATTGATGACATGGGAAGGGAGAGAGTGGACATTATAAACAGAGGGGTTATTCTTATTTTTTAATCTTGTTAGTAACTGTCAGTCTCTTGACCCACTGATTTCTCTGTCCTTTAATCTCTTACCCTCTGCCATGTGGTGTTTAAAAAGTTCTGGGTAATTTAATCATTTTATTAATGAGGCCAAAATGTTATTAATAAAAGGATGGTCATTTGGTCAACTCTGTGAGACCAAAGACAATCATGGTGGTGGGGCTCAGGACTTATATGTTCTTTTGGAAGAAACATGGCAATCAACTCTGGTTAACACAATGGGAGGTGGGCTATATTAAAATGAGGGAGTAAGAGTGACATCATGTCACCCTTGGACTGAGAGTCTTATCTCTATACCCAGACACCCCCAGCTTTGGGAAATCTAATCAAAGACTTTATCCCCACCCAAACCTGAGTAGAACGCAATAGGCTTCCAGACCAAGTTTGAGGAGAGTTAATTTAATCTCATTATCAAGAGACCGAACTTTTTATTTTTTTAAATCAGGACTTTAGAAGAAGGGGAAAATGCTGGGTCTTCCCAAATTATTGGTTATTAATTATCATTTCTCTCAGCCATGCATACCCTGCATATCTATCCCTAGATGAAGATACTTTATTTCTATTGTCTTCTTCCTCCACTGGTCCTCCCCAGATGTTGAAGGCTGTTGGAGATAATCAGGAAACTTCTGATTGTGTTTATTACACATTTATGCTGACCAATCTCAACTGGAGAGAATCTTTTATATTCTTCTTTTATTGACTCTATCACTTTCTCCAGAATGATAGTCCTAAATGTTCTATTTTCTCTTCAGGTCCCCAATTCTACCTACTCTCTCCTCATCCTTAGCACATGATTCCCCTCATTTGCTCCCTGTGTCAAGAAGATTGAGACCATGAATGATAGATAGACTTCACCAACTTTCCTTCTCAAAACTTCCCAGTGTCCTCATCCATCCTCTCCTTTTTCCTTCCATCCATACAATGAAATGGCCCTCCTCCTTGCCAAGGCTACCCTCTCTGCTTGTAATGGCCATCCTGTCCCTTCCCATCTCTTCTGTGGCTTTACTTTTTAAATAATTCCCTTTCCTTTTATTTGTCTTCATTCTCTTCTTTAGAGTAGCCCTTCAAATTCTTGCCCTTTGTCTCTATTGTCTTTCATGTTCAAGCTTCTAGAAAGAAGAGGCTCCCCTGAGTATGGTAGCACATGCCTGTAATCCCAGTTTTGGGGAAAGCTAAGGTACATGGATCTCTTGTACTTGGGAATTCTGAACTGCAGTAAGCTATGTTGATGCTACAATTAGATGGACGTTACTATGGTGATCCCAAGGAGGGGTGATGTAGGATAGGTAAGAAATGGATCAGTTCAAAGCTCCTGTGCCAATCAGTTGTCGCATTGGGCCCTTAGGTCGTCTCTGTGTTTCTAGCCTTTTGAAAAGATGTAGTTTTAAAAAAAAAATAGACTCTACTTGCTTATCACTCATTTTTAAACCTATTGCAACCTTGTGTCAATCTCCACCACTCTACTGAAATGTTTCTCTCTAGAGTCAAAAGCCACTTGCTTGTATCTTTCAATTAAATGACATGTTTTCCTTTCCCTATCCTCCTTGAATTGACATTATTTGCCACCTCTCCCTTGAGATCTATTCCCTTCTTGGCTCATGTGACATTGCAACACAGTAATTCTACTGCTTCTCTTTCTTTCTGACCATCCCTTCTGTATCCTTCTCTGGCTTCTTACCATTTCTTTAATCTTGGGGGGCCCATAAGATTTTGCCTTTGCCTTCTCTTCCTTGGTTATTTGTCCTGGCTTCAATTATTACCCCTGTTCAGATAATTTGAAAATCTGTGTCTCTACCCCAATGTTTCCCATAGCTAACCTGATATTTCCCATTGGATAGCTCTACCTGAATGTCCCATAGCCTCCAATTCAACATGTCCAATTCTGAATTTCTCATCTATGCCCACCGGTCCCAGCATTCTTCCAATGTCACTTCTAATTTGAAATCCCAGAGTCATTTTTGCTTTTCATCTGTTCCTCAACCCCCATATCCAATCAGATGCCAAGTCAAGTCCAAATGCAAGATGTCTTACGATCAGCCTCTCCTCTCTATTCCTTGGTTTAGGTTCTCACTTCTTTTTAATTAGATTATTATCTAATAAGCTTCTCATTGACCTTTCTAGCTCCAGTATATCCTCTCTTCAATCTATTGCCCATATTGTTAATGGAGTAATATTTTTAATGCACAGTTATGATCCTGTCACTCATTTATTCAATAAATCTTATGTATTAGATATATATTAAAATGTAGTTAAATAAAACATATTGTCAAAATATATTTTTTCTTAAAAATAATTAAATCCTGACTTTAATTCTTCTTATATTTACAGCCCCCACTGGTCCAAGCAATCTTCAGTGGTGATCCAGAAGAGATACGAATGTTGATTTACAAAACAGAAGATGTGAATGCTCTGGTAAGTGCTGCTATTTGCTGACCTAATGGTTTTATCTATACCAGCTCTGAAGACTTGAAACTATTAAGAAAATAGCTGCAATGAGCAAGGAATTAAAAAAGAGAAAAAAAATCTGGTAGCCAATGATTTATGAATTTAATAGTTTCTTAGAACTAAGTTGAACAAGTAATTGAATATAGTACATGCTACTAATTCCCTTGATGTAACTTAATTATATAAATCTGCAAGTCTGTCAAGGATAGGAGACTTTTCTCAAGCTCTTTTTGTTAACTAAAAACCATGGAAAAGTTAAAGCATCTTTAATCTCTAATATCTTTAGAAAGGTGGTGTATTGTAGTAGTCCACAGATTGTCTCCTACTTCCTGTTGATAGCTCTATCTGCACATCCAAATAGTCCAAACTCAGAAGCCTGGGTTCAAGTTCTGCTCCTGAAACATACTGACTATGTGACCCTGGGCAAGTAGAAACTCTTTAAGACTGTAAGTTACAGAAAAGGTATTTACCTACATTAGTAGGAGGCTCCTCATCTGGGAATCCTATATTCTAGTGAAATCTCAGCCTCAGTCCCTCTTCCTGTCTTAGCTTCACAATTTCTTTTCCTGGTGAATTATAATCTGAATTTGAGCATTTTTCACTTGTAGAATGTTACCTCTAAATAACTACTTGGATGTTAGAAATAGAATCATGGGATCAAAGCTCTAGAGCTGGCAGGGACCTTAGAGTCATCTAGCCCAACCCCCTCATTTTACAAATAAGAAAACTGAGGCTAAGAGAGATCAAGTGAGTAGCACTATATGGTGGAAGGAGCACTCGCTGTGGACTGGGAGGACATGGATTCAGATTTCACCTTGGACATTTCCTACCTGGTTGACTTTGAACAGTTAAGTTAATCTTTCTGGGCTTCAGTTTCCTCATCTGTAAAATGGAAGGGGTTGGACCAGAGAGGCTCTGAAGTCTCTTCCTGTACTATGTTGTGATCCTCTGATCCTCAATGACCTGCCCACAGTCACAATTAAATAAGGTAATGTGTGGAAAGTACTTTGCAAATGGCAGAGTTGTATACGATACATATTCTTACTGTAATCATTACTGAAGTCATATCTGCATTTCAATTTAGTTTTAGATTTCCATATTAAAATTTTTTTGGGGGAAAAACTTTCCCTGGCTAGCACTGAAAACAAATACGTGGTGGTTTTTTAGCGATTTCAGCATAGACAAGGCTAGGAGTGGGCTACTCCAGAGGATGGTTGGCAGGATGTGAAGGGCAGGCAGCCCAGTGTCCTGACACACAGCATGGGAATTGGCCAGGCCTGCTTTGTGGTGGTCGCAACCCTGGGCAAACACTAGATAATGTGACTTTATTCTGTTGATGATGGAAGTGGAGAGTAGAGTGGGGAGGAGAGAACTGAAAGTCTTTCCAATGATGACACACTTGCAGAAAAATCACACTGCCCTTAGAGTAGCTTTTATTTCTAGTTGGGACAATAGCATACAGCTGTAGACCATCAAAGGTTAGGCATTTTACCTGTGGTGGACTTTAGTTTCATTGCAGTTCACTTTTGGACTTACATGTTTCCCTCAACCATCTAGGGAATTATATTAGAACTCTTAAAAGGGATGTTGCATCTTTTCGACAACTTTAATATTTCCCAGCAATATTAGAGAAATCAGAGGAAGGTGTTGGGGAATACACACAATTTCTGAACTTGTGAGGGTGACATTAGTTCAAGGGTTAGTAGTCTTATATTCTTCATAGTTCCCCCTACCACATGTCACCCTGGTTCTAGGAGAGTGCCAAGAATGTTGTCCCTTTGTGTCACAGAAGGCAGAGACCTAACAAAACAAGTATATATTAAGTGCCTACTGTGTGCCAGGCAGCTAGGTGGCACAGTGAATAGAGCACTGGGCCTCAAGTCAGAAAGATTCATCTTCTTGGGTTCAAATCTGGCCTCAGACACATATTAGTTGTGTGACCCTGGGCAAGCCACTTAACATTGTTTGCCTCAGTTTCCTCATCTGTAAAATGAGATGGAGAAGCAAATGGCAAAGCACTCCAGTATCTCTGCCAAGAAAATCCTAAATGCTGTCACAAAGAGTAAAACATAACTGAAAATGAGTCAACGACATGTGCCAGGCACTGTGCTTAATGCTTAGAATACAAAGACAAACATGACACTATCTCTGTTTGCCCTCAAGGAACTTACATTCTAATGGGGCAGATAGAATGTATAATGTGTACTTACGTTTGGAATACACACAAAATGAATGCAATATAATTTGGGGAGCAAGGAATCTAGAAGCTGAGGGGATTTAGAAAGCTTTCATATAGAAGGTGGTACTTGAATTGACATTTGAAGGAAATAAGGGATTCTAAGAGCTAATTCCCATTGCACATCCTTTATGATGTTTTTTTCAGGTGTAAGTTATAATGACTGCTTTTATGGGGGACTCGATGATTTTCTAGGACCTAGTTTGGAGACCAAATTCCAGATGAGTTGTTTCAGAGGAGTTGAAGGAACACAGGATTTGATCAGGATTAAACCTAATTTGAATAGATTTGAATAACTGTGTGACTAAGGGGTAAATCCAGTCACTACCTTTGAGTCTCAGGTTTCTCATCTGTAAAATGGTGCTACTAATAGACTACCTTCCAGAGTACTTGTGGGGGAAGCAATTTGTAAACCTTGAAGTGCTATAGAAACATAATAATTATTGTTATTGATCTAGTCAAGTCGAAAAGCATTTATTAAGCACTTGCTGTGTGCCAGGCTTTAGGATTTTTAAAGAGTTTTTCTTATAGATGATGGTGGCCAGATGTTTTCATCATCGAAGAAGAAATTGGATTAAACTGCAGCATGAAGGATTTGATTAGATGTAAGGCAAAATTATGATTAGTGAAATATTGGAATGGGCTGATGAGAAAGGATGAGAAATCTTCTATATAAAGTTGGAAAAACAAGCAAATAAGATAGTGACTCATCTGTCTGGGAAGATTTAACTGTGGTTATGGGAGATATGTTCAGATGACTTCCACAGATCACTTTAAACTCTCTGGTGAGCGTGGTCTAGTGGGAAGAACAGCAGACTGGGGGTCAGGGCTTCCAGTTCTAATTCTTTTATTAACTATGTTGACCGTGGGCAAATCATTTCACCTCATTTTTTCCATCTGTAAATGAAGGTGTTGGGTGATCAGTAATGTCCCTTTATGTTTTGACATTCCTGTAAGACTTAAAATGCCAATTAAAAAATTGAGCCCTTTCCCAGGCTTTCTAAATTTAAAAGCTTTTTTTTTTTAAACCTAAACTAGAGATTCATACAATCATAGAATCTGACTTGGAAGGCATCTCGTTGGCCGTTTGATCCAGCCTGTTTGTGAAAAAAGAATCCGTCCTCCATCGTACTTTACAAAGGGTCCCCCATGCTACTTCTGGATAGCCCTGTTAGGAAGATTCCCTTTATCTTGAGCCCAGTTTTGTCTTGCTGACAACTCCCACCCATTACTCTTGGTTTTGGCTTTTGGGACTGAGCAGTGCAAGTTGAATTCCCTCTTCCTTGTGACAGCTCTTAAAGTACTAAAAGGCAGCTTTGGGCATCAGTCAGCCAATCAATAAACATTTATTAAGCTCCTGCTATGTAGCAGGCATCTTCTCTCCTCCAGGCAGCACATCGCTGTCTTCTCACTCAAGCTACAGATGACATGTCCATGAGGCCCTTCGCCATCCTGATTGCCCTCTTTTGGAGGGAGCTTATGATTTTCCTTCCTAAAATATGGTGTCCAGATCTGAACAAAAATATTCCAGATGTGGTCTGATTAAGGCCTAGTCATAGACTCTGATGCCTTGAGCAAATAACTTAACATAAAGAATTGAGAAAATACATAGGCCAGAGAATTATGCTTTATAAGTTAGGAAACAAAACTGAGATCCTTTGGTGAGAATGGGAGAAGGCTAAAAGCAACGTATGCTTTTATGTTCTGCACATGAGGTTGCTTTCTTCCCTGTTAAATATAAAACCATCATCCTAAAGTTCATTCAGCTGATGCTATAAGGTCAGCCCCAAAAGTGGAAGCTTTGCTTCTTTGTCCTCAGTCTGCTTATTTACAGAATCCCTTTTCTGGGATTCAGGGAGGGCAAGTTGGAGTTTCTTTATCACATAAAGGGAAATTAATAATTTTGTTCTTGTGGGCAAGAGCTATTCTTCATCAGCAGATGCCAGGCAGTAATGGGATGTGTTGTCCCTTATTGGACCTTTGCCCAGGCCATGGGAATGCAATTTAGAATCTGTGCCCTGTGCTATATAGAGTGATGCATTAGCTCATGATGCCACTAAGTTAGCCACAGAGATGTCTTTTCAATGGACATTTTAAATGCAAAATTGAAGGCCTAATCAAGGCTCCTTCTGTCTGGTTAGCATCATTCTTTAATTATCCTTTCAGTGCAACTGAGCAGTGTGAAACACTCCATTCTTCAAGAACTGTTTTTCTTCCTTCTGCTCTGACATAATGCCAGCTGAAGATGCCAGAGATTATTCATCCAATTTACAAGTGGGGAAATCCTTGTAATTGTAGTAGATTAAAGATGTAAAATTCAGAGTCTTTGGAATTTTCAAGGTAATAGTATTGTTATTTTTCCTGTATGAGACAACCTTGGCATGAAGGGTTACTTTGGCTCAAAGCCCCACCCTGAAATCTCTTCATTGAACATCTTGGAAGGCTGGTGCCAATTCCTTCTCTTGTAAGCATATAGGCCATAATATATCAGCAGAACATTTTACTTATTAATAATGTCAAATTTGTATAGTGATTTTCCACTTGTAAAGTACCCTCATAGACATCACATTATTTAAACTTCACACCAATCCTGTGTGATAGGCAGGGCAGGTATTATTTCCATGTTACTGATGAGAAAACTGAGGCTAAGAAAGGTTGTGAGAGATATCATGATTTGGTTGAAGAACGTTCTATTTGGAGTCAGTGGATTTGAGTTTCAGTCCCAGTTCTA